ATCCTTAGTGTTAAAGAACTGATTTGTATGATAATGGATCCCCAGAGTTGAAGAACTGTTTTGTATGATAATGGATCCTCAGAGTTGAAGAACTGTTTTGTATGATAATGGATCCTCAGAGTTGAAGAACGTTTTGTATGATAATGGATCCTCAGAGTTGAAGAACTGTTTTTTGTTCGAGATTCGTGGCTTGAAGAAGACGCTTTTGTGGCTAAAGCGTGATTTATTTTTCATTGTTTTTAAATATAGTAGTTTCCGTCTTGGAATCTGTCTTTGTTTGACTTAAATACAAAGTTTTATATGTGACTAGAAATTTTTATCGTTAGACGTTAAATATACAAAAACATAACCACTATTAAAAACAGATGATTAAACAAGAATGGGTGAGGTGCTGCGTGTTTTTATCTGGTTTTGTTCCTGGTGTGCGAATTACAATTGAAACCACTATATTTAGGTAAAGAAACCAAATTTCAATTTTTCGCATGTCAGTGTGTTCGAGGAACATTGCATGTTAATCGTAGTCAGTTCCTTTTATTGTGTTTGTATTGACATCATTAGCTATTGGTTGATTTATCTTATATTCGAGTTCTCCTTTTCTGACCTTTGTGGTTGGACGAAAATTCCTGTAAGCGATTTCTATCGAGATATTTGATTGGCTAATTTGGATTCACTAAATTTAATTGATATCCAATCCCCTTATCCTTAAATTTTAGAACTACAAAGTAACAACCTATCAAAGATTACAACAATACCAATACGTAAAAATAGATAAACAGCTTTTAGCCTAGAGGGATACTTTTGAACTGTTATATATATCATCTACAAACTTAATAAGGGTCAAAACTACAGAATCTTTCATCCTCGTGGAGCACAGTTCGAATTGGGTTAAGTATCTAGAGGTATAATAAAAGTGGCTGTCGTCCTCCTCTGGTGGAAAGTATAAAGAAAATCAAACACTAAACAAATGTGTATGGAGCTATTTTAAAGGTAGCTGTATGTCACGTTTACTACTCTGATCTAGATCTGGTTATTCCGTGGGGGGGGGGGGCGATGATTGATTATCTTGCAAAGCTTGCCCAGAGCTACTGGTTATAGGTTTCTCATACAGCCTACTTCACCGTTATTATTAGGCTCAGTACTTAAACAAGTTTTTGTAAACAGACTTATTAAGACGGCGGTAATAGGACTTTCATATACTCATCTACAATGTACATGCGTGAAATCCCGTTAGAAGTAGGACACATCTACACAGATACACACTCTTAAATACACCCACCTTTCTGTTTAGAGTATTCTGTGAATATCATATGTACAAGTTTGCCAGAATTATACGTGGACAACTTAGCTACATCCATTATTGAATTCTACGTCACGATTTGTTTATCATCTGTTAGAAGTTCACAAAGCTGTAGTCCTTGAGATCCTAGCACGATACGGACTACACAAAACGTTCTAGGTCAGTTTTCAAGGCTGGATGAGTCTGAAAACACATGTTATGAATGCGAAATATTTGTGCATGTACTATTTTGGTTTTTACTTTCGTCAGTGCTCCTATACCGTTATACGTATATTCATTTCTTAGTATTTCTAGAGCTGGTATTTCGAAACGTATTTGTCAGATAAACATCACGTTTCTACTTATTTTCGTGTGGAAATCTGTATTGTTTTACTTATTTTTTTAGCCTTATTTTCAAATTTAACTTAACTGAACTTAATTTAAGGCCCTACATGCCAAGTGGTACAAAGAGTCTCCATGAAGTCAGCCCAAGCACGTCGATCCCAAGTCACATCCTCGACGTTATCCCACCGGTCCCCAGCTTCCCTTCTTATAGTACCAATCTGAAGGGGGAAATGGAACGATGATATAGCCTATCCTTCCTCAAGACCGTCTAGGGGGAGTATTCCCCCCATCCGTCTGGAGGTGGTCCTGTCATAACATAACCTAGTTGATCTGGAGCAGGGGTTCCAAAACTTTGCCAACCGTCGGACCCCCTTCAACTTCTTTACTGTATTGACGGACCACCTCCCATTAAAAATGGTTTTTCTCATGTGTACCTGGTGTATCATGTGCATATTTTACTACCTTTACAACTGGATTCTAGCTTTAAGAAAAAAACAAAACAAAACAAAACAATGAAAAGAGATTTAAGTATGGAAAATTAAAAAAAAAATCTTACGACTCACTTTAATGTGAAGGATGGTTTGCCGAAACAATCATGCGAATTTCTGGGTCAAATGTCTGACAGTTTCAAACGAAGATCCGTTTCCACACTTATCCAATTTATATACTTCGATTTGATATAAGAAAGTTGAAAGAAACCTCGCATTTTGGCTTATTCGTTACTCTTTCAGGCCCCCCAGTGGCACAGCGGTATGTCTGCAGACTCACGACGCTAGAAACCGGGTTTCGATACCCGTGGTGGGCAGAGCACAGATAGCCCTTTGTGTAGCTTTGTGCTTAACTACAAACAAACAAACAAATACTCTTTCAGTAAATGGTAATTTCATAAATTTGATGTATTACTGCGGACCCCCTAGGGGTCTGCGAACCACAGTTTGGGAACCTTTGATCTAGAGAAATAAACCTCGATCAACAATCTCGGTCCTCCTGGGTGGGGGTTAGCATGTAATGGTGGCGACATTGCTGTTGTAAAAGGTTAGTGCTGAAGAATCCTCCATGAATTATTTTCAAATAGACTTTAAAGTATTGCAGTCAGTAACCACAATTTTGAACGGCGAATATCGTGGTGCTTATTGAAAAATGAACTCAGCACTGTCAAAATGTTGTAATCCATTTAAAGTTGTAGTAAATAGCTGCTAACATTAGAGAGTAGGGATATTTAAAGTTTACCAAAGTATTAGAGCAAATCACGCAATTAGTTATAAGAACCTCAAGTCAAGTGACTAGCCATAATTGTTATAAACCAGGCGACTAATTAGAAACACTAGGTGTACTTCCGCAAGGTCCTCGAAAGTGTTTTGTTTTAAGAGTAACAAATATTTTTATTTCTTGCTTTTGAAGTTCATACGTCATGCTGTGTTGTAGTGTCCCTTATGTGACGTCATTTTAGTGTCTACTGACTGACTGACAGACAACATACTACTGTATAGTGGTACAAGTAGTTAAAACAGGTGACCCCTCCAGACTTCGGCCCCTTTCGGGGAAATTACACGTCAAATGACTAGCTAGAAGAATTACAAGGGAAGTTATACTTGATGCAAGACAGCAACCTGTCAAGTGTTACATGTCAGGTGATCAACATAATTCAAGCACCTAGTTACAAGTGAAGTTATACTTGATGCAAGACAGCAACCTGTCTGAGGACATGTTATGACGGATCAGATGACTA